CTATGCTTCACAGCAATCAAAGAGAAATATGTGGACTGGACGGAGTTTCTCATACATGATTTGACAGGCGCCCGGACTGCACCTGCGAATTTACTGGAAGGCGTATGTATTAGATTGCAGTTTCTCTCCGATAACGTGTCGCGGTGTTCGTGCTGCAGCGGTGTCCCGTGTGTGAGGGTGCGTGCTTGCAATGTCCATGTGCCGTGAGTGTGCTGGAGCCAGCGCCAGCCGAGAGGCAGCCCTGAGCTCCCCTGGCTCTGCTTCTAACCAAGATACGGGGTGGTTTGTTTTGCCTTTTATTTCATGAAGATTAGTGCTTGTAAAAGCCTGGACGATGAGGGAGAGGGTTGAGGGAGCCAGTAGCAAGGAAGGTACAGCCCTTTAGGACCCCTTTAGCTTTACCAAACTGATGGCCCAAGCTTTTGAGTCTGATCATGGTTGGAGAGAAGCTTAGGTTGATGGGGAACATGGTCAGGCTTGTGTGTGTTTAGAAGTAGCTTCCTGAAGTCTTTCTAAAAGGGCATCTCCTGAAAGCCTATCTAAAAGGAGGAGTCAGATCTAGCAGGGAAGCAGGGTGAGATGCTGTAAACCAGTAGCCACCATGAGAGCACAGGAGATATTTCTACAAATGCACCCAGATGGCCAAGTCCGTGCAGCACATCCATGGGGACTCTCACCCTTGGGCATCCTTTCTGTGAGCACTTGTGTTGGCCTTTGGGAAGGTGGGGGCACCTATAGGCACTGTTTTTTCTCATTTTATCCCTCATGCATAACCAGTCAGCAGGGTTTTCTCGACCCTGACTAGTGGCAGCCTTTGCATTGCCCATGTCTGCTGCCACCTTTTTGTTGGACATTGCTAGGCTCCCCCTTCCCTTTGGGTAAGCAAAGAAAAGATGCAGTCTTGGGACAGAAATGCAGAGAAATCAAGCAGCGCTGTGGCTCGAAACACTCCCTAGTTCTTTGGTAGTGTTTTATGCAGTATATGTGTTCAGTGGCGTCCGTGGCGTGTAGTCTGTGTAACTCCCTGTTGACAGATTTGCTGTTCGTGAGTGCTGCAGACTGTTGTCATGTTGTTAATTCAATATGCGATGATACTTTTCCTTTTTTCTTTTTTTATCATTCTAGATATGCATATAAAGAGTTGTTGCATTATGGTAAACGTTAATATTTCATGCAACCCAGTTATTCATTGTATCCGCTCTGCTCTCTGGGGGAAATGACAACCCCATTGGCTTAGGATTTAGTGCACAAATCGGAGAGCAATATTAACATTTTTTTTTATTGCTAGGGATCTATTATTATAAGTTAAATCATTACACTGTCGTTTAATGTTAAAAAATGTTTTGTTGCAATAAAGCTGCTGTATGTGGGGAGAAATCACGTGGAAGTAGATTTCCATGATGTTATTAACATTTGAGACTGTATTTTTCCATTAAATAATATTCGAGGTGATCATACAGCTGTTCCTAATACATGCAACAGAGGAGGGCTTATAATGGCAAATTTGCTGTTCTGAGGAATATCTATTAATCATAGAGCGGGTTAAAGCTGTACGTGTGATTACATTTTAGTTAACTTTAATGGAGTTTTTACCAAATTCTCATTCTATCACCTGTGTTTCTGGCTTATTAAAATGGAAATTGATTAGTTGCATTTCAGAATTTTAATTATTTTCAAATTTTTGATTATTTTCAAAATTTGACTATTTTCAAGCTAAAAGAGATTTTTTCTCTTAAAAAATAAAGCTTTCGGTCTTTTCTTTTTCCAGTTACCCTTAGAAAGAACCATTCACAGGCTGACTCTGATTTACAAAATAAATATTTTCAAAATACCCTGAAAGGAATATATACTTTAATTCAATTGAAGTCATACAAACACATGCACATACAAATTGACCCAATCGTTTTCATATTTTGCCTATGCTTAGCATCTCTCCTAAGGACATCTAAATCTTTTTTGGGAGGAGGATTTTCAATTCTTGGACTATTTCTTAGTGCTGCTCCTAAAATCCTGAAATTGAGAAATAAACCTGCATTAAAAAAAATAAAACATTGAATTTCAACAGTTGTAGAGCGGAGCTTGATGACACAAACAGGCTCACAACTGCAAAACAAAAATGCAGAAGCACAATGGGATGGTTTTGGAAACCATCTCATCATTTTTTAATGCATGCAGTTGGCAGCTTTGCAGGTGTAAAGTTAAGCATATGTGCAAGTGATTACAAAACTGGGATCACAGAAAATACTGTGTGTGGGCAAAGCATCTTTCACTGGCATTTCTCGGTGGCTTGACCCAGAAAATCCTGTGTGCCTTGAGTTAGAGCTGAAGCCCATGAGAGCTGGTGGGAATCTGCTGTTGGCCTTGATTCCTTGGGCTTTGGAGAAATGACTGTCTTGCACCTGTGGAGGTGGAGAACATGGTGCTATCCATGTCTGCAGGGGCAAGCTCACCTTTTGGGTAGGAAATTTCAGCTTTCACAGAGGGCTTTCAGGGCCATAACTAGTTGCTGTTTAGGTGAATACGAGGGTCCAGTCCTGTGATTGGTTCTTATCAACTGGAATCGATGAGAATTTGGCTTGAAATCCCCCAAAATATCTGGGCCTGGGATCATTTGGGAGCATCCTAAGGGTTTGTGCCTTATGAGCTGTTCCAGCTTTTATTATTCTTTATTTTTTTTTATTGTGTTGTTGTTGATGTCATTTGAGGAATTAGCACAACTGTTGTTTTCTGTTTTACTTCTGAATTTGCACTTGGAAGACATTGGGTAAAATAGAAGAAGAACAGACTGTTTGCTGATCGCTTGGATGATGGTGTGAAAAAACAAAAATAATCTGCTGTCATCTGTTTCCTTGAGAAGTCTTCAAATAAAGTTTAAAATAAGGAGTTTTGCTTCTATTCAAACAGCCTCTGCGAGGAAAAAACCCTGTAGACCTCATTACAGTTGATTCCTTAATAGAGCTGCAGGATTCCCAGAATCCCTGTCAGTACTGGATAGTTAGTGTGGTTGAAAATGTTGGAGGAAGATTACGCCTTCGCTATGTGGGATTGGAGGAGACTGAATCCTATGACCAGTGGTTGTTTTACTTGGATTGCAGACTTCGACCAGTCGGTTGGTGTCAAGAGAATAAATACAGAATGGACCCACCTGCAGGTAAATAATCCCCTGAAAATGCAACTTCTGTGCTCTGCATTTGCTGACATCCGAAGATATTTGTCAAATATGCTCTTTTTTCCCAGGATTCACATTGCTTTGAGTATAGTTTCTACCTGAGCAGGTGTTTTTGGTGACTGTTTCCCATCGCATGTGAGTGGGAACGATGACCCCCGATGGTGTCGTGGGGTCAGTCCAGGCTGAGGGTCTAACTCAGGGTCTTCTCATTCTTCAGAAATGCTTCATTTTCGTCGTTGGCGAGGTAGGGAGTCGATGCTCCCTTTCACTACTAAATTGGATGCAAACAGTAGAGAACATGAATATCACTCACTACGTTATTTGAGTGATTTTTCATGGCAGAGAAGCAGCTTTTGATGGATTGTATCTGAGCCCTCTTGTCCTGTGTAGGTTTGGTAAATCAATATAGCAATGGCTCTAATCACCTATGTATGTCCTCTGTGTTATTCCATTATCCTCTCACCTTTCCTGCTTTTATCTGCTTTCTTTCCTTCTCTCTCTCTCTTTTTCTTTAGCTTGTCCTCTTGCTAGGCTGGTTTCTTTGCCGGAATTGTATATACTTCTTCTCTCTTTGATTTCCATGCTTTTTGAGTTTCTGTATCTGTTTCTCTTCATCTGGCATATTTTCTTTCCTGCTCATTTCTTTGGCTATTAGCTCCAGCTATTAGTGAACATTCTTACGAATGAATTCAGATCTTCATCTCATCTTTATCGTAACTTCCATTGGCTTAAATGGACGTGCAATTGCTTTACATCTTCTGAGGTTGTGTTTCACTGGAGGTCCCCTTGGGTCTGAACACTCCCATTTGCTCATGATTCCTCTCCTCCTGAATACTTCCACCAAGAATGTTTCCTTGAATCCTTCTGTACTGCCCAGTTGTTGGGTTCTGCAATTGAGGGAATAACTACTCAGAAATAGTATAATTTTAAAAATTTTTATCAGTGCCCCAGAGATCTTTGCTATCTCCAGGAGCAAAGCAGTGCTGCTTGTTGCACCTCTGACACTGATCTATGCTGGCCATTTGATGTCAACACAGTCATTAAATGGATAAATAAATATACATAGATATATATATATACACGCACACACACATACAATAATATATATATTTTTTTCTCCTCAGATGTGTAACCAAATCCAAAATAAGCTTCCTTGCTAGTACAAATCAGCAGAAACCCCTTGACACAGACCCACTGGTGGTCTTACCTCAACTGTTCATGCAGGAAGAGATTGTCTCATTTTTTAGGTTACTTTCTAGTTAAAGACAAATTGGCAGTCATTTTAATTCCACACTCCTTGTTATCCTAAATACAAATTGACACAGTGCACTTAGCTCAATTACCTGCAACACTGTCACTTAAACAACAGCCTCAGTGCTCTTTTAACCATGTGATTTAGTGTTTGTAAGCATAAGTTAACTGTCACTGTCTAATAAAATGCACACATAATACTGCTTTCTGATTATGGAAATCATTAGAGTTTACTTTATCTTTCAAAGCCTATTGACTTCTCACCAGAAAAAAAAAATCACTGATTTTTGAGCAGAGTGACACAAAATGCCATCTTCTTTTTTCCTGTGCCTCACTGCCATAGCACAATAGAAGATGGATGTCATAGCAGGATACATAAAAAAAACTCTATAGAGGCAATGATGTCCTGGGCCAGAGCTTTATTTAAAGTGCATGGGTTTTTTTTTTTTTTGCATTATTTGACCATCAAGGTTAACTCTTTGGGGTCTTCTCAACAACGAGGAGTTCTGGGAGTTATTTCCCCATATTTTCCGTGCTGTCCCACCATGAAAGCTTCATAAAAGATGGGATTGTTGGGACTTCTGCTGGTCTGTGCTGAAGGCAGCTAAAACAACAAGCAGTCATTTAAGCTGGAAAGGGAAAGTTGAGGAAGGTCGATTCCCTTCCTGCACTTCAGGCAAATCTGAGGAAATGTAGAACTGGGGCAACAGGTCTATAAAATAATGAATGATTAAATGAAGAGTGAACTTCTTAACACTCACGACCGCTGTATCTGCTTTAAACAGGCTTGAAATGTATATTCCCATTAATAATCTGACAGGCAAGGAATGCAAAATACGTCCCGGAAAGGTTAACATTTCCCTTTAAGTGTGTGTAAATTCATATGCATATCCTTGATGTCTGTCTGAAGTAGCGAGTTTCGATATAGTGTAAGTATAAATACATCCACTTCCAGCAAGTGACTCTGCAAATCCTATTTTGATAAGGTCTTAAATCTGTTGAGATCAGAGCATAAAATTCTCTTGTACTGTCAGTGCTAGGTGAAAACAGTGCTTGCCAAATCCTTCTTTTTATTTATTTTTTATTTTCTCCTTTGGAATTGTAAGATACTGCAGTAAATCTTTGCTAGCCAGCAAATATATTTGGTTATTGGATGTGCAGAATTTAAATATAAATTGGGCCAAATGAAACAGTGATGTAACTGTGGGAAGCCAAGCTGACAAAAGGAAAGCTTCCTGCTATTCACTCCCTATCAAGGTTCAAGTTTATTATTGGGTAAATGTTCATTTTCATTTTAATAATTGGTGCAATCTATCTACCTATCTTGTCTCTTTAAGACCTTGATATGAATGCTCTGCAATAACTTGTTAAGGGCAGGATAACAATATGTTTTCTAGGGCAGAAGTAAATCCAATATAATGTTCTTCCTCATTATATTGTTTCCTACATTGTTTCCTTTGATGATTCATAGGCGTTTCATGGCAATGAGTCATGAAGGGATGATTAATATAATGAATTAATGATATTAGACCTGCTTAAAGAAACTCACTGAAAGCAATGTGAATCTACACAAAGACGTTGCCAAAAAGAATTACAGTGAGCAGAACTCGTTAAGGATTAGTTGTTGTGTTTGTGTGATGATCTGGGTTCAGCATGATACCGACAAGTATGTCTAGGTGGAGACTTAGCTGAAATGTTCCTTGCCTTCTCACAACTATCACCCTATAATAAAAGGAACTAAAAGAAACCTTTCCAATAAAATGAACCGAAGTTTTGGTCAATAATAAATAATATTGTCTAAAAACCTGATGCTCCTCAGTCTGCAAAATATCGGGTATTTTCAGAACTGAATACTGGAATTGGAGAGTGGGGGATTTTTTTTTTCTTCAGATAATGAGAAAGTTCCTTATTTGTTTCTTCAGCAGAACTTGAGGAATGTGTATTTGTCTGGGATTTGTCTACTCTGGGATTTAAAAAAAAAAAAATTTCCTCAAATATGCCCCTTCTAGTTGCTTTCGTGTTGAATTTAACCACATTGTACAGCTTTAGATATATACACTGTTCATTTTATTCTGAGTATCCCTTTCCCTGACACAGGGACTTAAGTTTTTCAAAAATATTTTATCCCTGAACAGTCACCTTTTTTTGTTTTTCTTTTTATCATCCCTTTAGATATCTATTCTCTGAAGACTATATCTGAGTGGAAATGCGCTCTGGAAAAATCCCTTAATGATGCAGCAAATTTA